TAAATGTTTATGGTTTATAATGTGACAGTTATTCAGTTCAATTAACAAACAAAACAATTATGTCCATCTTTACATATATGGGGCAAAAGTGGTGATGTAATTGTTAAAAAAAAAGAGTTTAATGCTGTTAATTGCACAAAATTAAATGTATGTGGTATAAGCCAAACACACAACTCAATCAGCCCCAGCAAAACAATTTCTACACCTGAAGGTCTGTTTTCTGTTTTGCACTAATCTTCTTCTTCTTCTTCTAGCCTCTGAATCAGTGGATTGACAGCTATGAGTGTAGTTAGAGCGGGGGTGTGGGTTAATAAGCCTCCACAGGGCTCATATATGCGCGTGTGCACCTTCCTGACGGTTCGACTCGATCGATCGCTCAGAGCCATTAGTCTAGAGACAGTGTATGGTGCAGGGAAACTTGACGCACTTTGCACTGGTGGAGTGCTTAGTCTTTTCCAGACATCTTTATGTCATAGTAATGGCTCTTTGCATTCATACATGCTTTAAGTACATGCTTTGGAGAATTTTGACTGCTGGTTAGAGCAATAATACTTTAACATGTAGCACGCAAGATTAGGCTGTAAATTATACTTTTTACTACAAGATGTAAAAAAGCTTGATTTAAATCAATACATTTATGATATACAGATATAGCCTGACACAAGCCTGAATTGGATAAACAAAATAAGATGGATGGATGCTGATGATGTAGTGCATACATATTTTATCTTATAAAAAGTTATTTTATTTAATACTAAAACTATTCCGACACTACTGTAAGTACAGGCTGGGTTAAAGCTTTAGTATATCTTCATTTACTGATAACAGATTGGTGTGTCTACTGCACAAAAGGGGATGTTTTGGGGGTGGCTAGGATGGGAATGAGGGACAGCTCAGGTTGAGCAGTTTAGAGACAAAGTTAGAGAGGCAAGGCTGAGATGGTTTGGACATGTGCAGATGAGGGATAGTGGATACGTTGGACAAGGATGCTGAATATGAAGTTGCCAGGCAGGAGAAAAAGAGGAAGACCTCGAGGGAGGTTCACAGATGTAGTGAAAGAAAATGTGCAGTGTGTTGGTGTGACGGAGGAGCATGCTAGGGACAGGGTGAGACAGAGGCAGATGTGCTGCTGTGGCAACCCCAGAATAAACAGAATAAACTGAAAGAAGAAGAAGACGATTTATTCGTAAACGTAAGCTGCCGTGGTGATCCACAAACAAAGTTTTAATGGAGATGGTTACTGTAAGAGGCATCTTCTTCTTCTTAGCTACATCTATCTGTGCATCTTATATCAGTGTAAGGCCAAAAACATATGACATGAAAAAAATCCCGGATAACTAACAGTGTGCAAAGCTAAACAGAGTTCTAGTCCCACAACAAGCCGACATCAGCTCATGATTTCTACATATGGTCATCTGTTACAACATCAAGTTGAGTCAAATTAAGTCAAATTGAATCAAATTGAATCAAATTGAATCGATTTGTTTTTATATTAGTATAAACCAACAGCAGGTGTTAGCCAAAGTGTTGTGCAGCTAAAAAACTAAAAGAATAATTAAATAATAAGGAACATTTTAAAAAATGCTGGGATGGGAAAACCACAAATAAAACAACATAATAACTCTAGGTTAAAAGTCAAAGATGGGTGTCTATTCTACAAATATACCATTCCCACAGAGCACAGGAGTAATATTCACAAACTCCTCAGCAGGCTTCCATAACTTGGCAAATCAGAAGAAAATGGGCTTTTATGGAGGTGGGTCTTAAAGAGACGAGAGGCAGAATGGCCTGTTTATGACAGATAATGAAATTATAGGCTGGATAAAAGGGCAGTATACGTCTTTTTTTTTTAAATCCTACAACAATAAACAAGCAAATGAGCAATAAAAACTGACAGTGATACATTTTTACAACATTTCAACTATCTTTTGTTTCAAAGATAAAAAAGACAAAACACATTACTAAACTATAAATACAGGTAATCATAATGCCAGCAAACGCTAACTCAAATGAGGGGCTGCATTCGGGTTACAGAGAGTGATGGGAAGAAATACATTTATAAATGTGATACCTGCTATTCAAAGCCTCATTAGCACAATATCACACCAGTCATTTACATCACACTCAAAAAAAATCCCTGGAAACATTTGCTGTCAGAATTATTATTATAGCAAGCTGCAGTAATAATTATTTACACCTACAAGTACACCTGGTAATTAAAAGACATCAACACACCAGCTGCTGTGTGTCTGAACACATCTGCATTAAGCTGACATTAAATTCTTCATTAGTCTTTTTGTTACTATTTTTTATCTGTGTGTGTAGGTGGCGAGAGCGGAGCTAAGACATCTGAGATGAGTCAGGTAGGAGTAGTAATGTCCAGATAACACCATTAAAAAATATTTAGCTCTAGACTTCTGACCCCAAACATGAACCTCCCAGTAGGGATTCGCTTTTTGGACAACATATTGCAGGGCTAAGGTTACTAGTGAAGGTAGGGCAGATAAAGAGTGGATAAACTGGAAAAGTTGAGGATAAGTTAATTAAAATAAAGGCAAATATCAACTAGATTGATTAACCTCTAGACACTAGTGTAAAGAAAAAACAAAGCCAATGCAGTCCCAAACAGTGCAGTTCCTCAAACGGCCTCATGGGCCTGTCTAAAACTCCCACATTAAAACACTTCATAACTTCACAGCATTAAAAAGCATGTTTACAGACTGGTACAAAAATGTTTTGGTCTCTATGAATAATTTCCCCCCTTCATAAAAACTGTACAGGCTTCCTTTTGATTTATTAATTTTTTGAGGGATCTTATTGATCTAGGCTCCAAAAACTTGGCTTCAGGCAAAACTCCAATGTTTTCCATGTTTTATATGAAAGTATATGTACCTTTATAGTAGAAAGGGGGGACTGCCAGATATTTTTTTAAGTATATGGATCGTATGTATGTTTAAGAATTGTTTGGTGTTTATCATAAATGTTGTGTTCAGCGTGTAAGAATTTCAAATCATACGTGTGGTCAAAGTTTGGAAATATTCACAAATGTGCAAGCTACTATGACAATTACAGTTAAATGTTGCTATTATATGTAGACAAGTTGTTTGTTTCAGTCGGAGCCAACAGCTCTGGCCTCTATGGACAGTATCCCCAACAACTCTCATTCACTCATCAACCTAATAATTTCTCAGTTATAACCCAATGAGTTTATCTGGGATAATCCTCCTTTCTAAATCTAAAGTTGTGTCCACGCTGGATGCAATTTGCTCGTTGCACATCACTTTGAAACTGATGGCTGGTGGATTTTCCAGGCACTGGGCCATGTCAATCACAGGTACCTTTCATTCTCATTGGAAGTCATTTAAATTCGTTGCCTGGAAGTTTAGAAAAGTTTATCTAAGACTCCTGCCTTCATAGTGTTAAAAGTGGTTATGCCACCCATAGTCACTCAAGGTCGCAGGATACCCTTGAATTTCTGTCATCTCTGGTTGTCACATTGCTGCAATGTTCTGCTTTAGAATGTCAAAATTCTGATTTAAGGTGCTGGCATGTTGGCTTTATTTTCTATGGGTCCAGATCATTCAGTTAGTTTATGGGGAATGGAATTTCCCAGTTTTTCTGTCTGTGTTGATATATGGCTGCTAACTGAGCTTCCTGATAAATGAGCACTTTCATTGGAATTTCTTAAATTATGAATTATTAAACCGTTTTATTTATCTGCAAGTATTTTATTTGCCAAGTGCATTGCGACAAATTAATAACTGATCAGCATAATAAGCTGCCTCTTAGGCAAGTTTTCCGTGGATGAACTCTACTTCCACGGTCATTGACTGCAGCTGTGAGCCCGGTGTAGCAGCACATAAATGAACCTGTTCTGGGCAGCTGGATGACGAACGCTAGCTGAAGTCCAAAATGGTGAAACTGGAGAACTTCCAACACTGCAGGATGAGATTGTCTGTGTGGACTGCCCCAAGAACTAGCAAGCCAGCAAAACAACTGATGGGAAATGAAACATGGCGTGGCGGGAAGCGCTGGGTAAGCAAGTTAGGAACAGTTCAACTTTCAAAATAAGAGCGAGGGGATTGCCAAATTTGTCATTTGTAAATCAAACACAGATGGTGCCATTCTTTCTAAGGGAGAAAGAAAAAATGCGAAATACACCTGTAGGGCCACACCAATCAAAGTCTGTATGTAGATGAATGCAGATTAATGTGCAGATTTTACATTATTATATACATCTAAAACTTGGCAGATTTAAATAGCTGCAATTGGTAACTGTATTAATTGAGACCCATCTTTCTAAAGAAAATACCTGCAACCATCATTTTTTCTGGCCCTTTACGCTGAACCTTAGAAAGTCTGAGAGTTTAGGTGAAACAAACCACTAGTTAAAAACAACAAAGGAAATTTCTAAAAACTTAAAAATCATTATAAATTATTTCAGTCAATGTTTAAGCTAACATTCCAAACAGTCCCAGGCTCCAGCTCAACAGATGTCACAATTTGATACTTTTCTTAGTCCTCTATCATAATAAAGCAAATATCTTTGACTTTTGACTTTTTAAAGTATTCTTGAAAAAAAAGGTTTCCACGACTTTTATCACCATTGCACTTTTGAACAAAGTTCCATAAGTATTCAAGTACTTATTTGAACCCATTATTTCTGATCCACTACTAGGCACACCTGGTCAGACGTGTTAACATGATTAAAAATAAAGTTATAGTCCTACTTAACATTGTAAATACATAGTTCTGTGTAAAGTCTGATTGGATTCACTGTTAACCATGCAAAAGCCAACTAAAAGATCTTGGTGGGTATTTTGGTCTTTTTCTTAGGCTTCTGGCCCTGTTTGGCCTGCTTTGTTTCCTCAAGCTTGATCATCAAACACATACCTGGCTGCTCTTTGTGTTTCTACTCCCTTAACCATGAAACCTCTTCCCCCAAACAATTACTATTGGTCTATGAAGTTTCAAAGCCCAAAAAGCATTGATACACAAACCTCTTGTGCTGCGCACAGATGGCCTTCCTCTGGCTACTACGAGAGTCTCTGAAGTCCAGTATCCGGCCTTGTCCAGTTCACAGATGCTGTTTAGCGCTCCAAGAAATACAAATGCTTTGTAAACTACTTTTTTTGCATTAAAATCACAGGTCGACCTTTTGCACATTGTAGTCACGCTACATTTTGTCTCCAAAGCCTAATCGCGTCCAATTGGTCCAATGTGGAATTTCGTTTAAATAGAGAAAAGGGCTTGTTTGTTTCTGATTTCCATTGACCTCAAAGACGCTCCAGTCCGTTGAAAATACTTTTTCTCTCCCGTCTTTTTGAAGCCGATGCAAAGCTTGTCCCCATCCACCACCACCTCCACCTTCACCACCACCATGCCTGGACGTTTCTTGATTTCCTCTGGCGCTGCATCTCTGAGCCAGACAGACAAAGGAGGGGAAGTCCTGCCAAGTCTCTCGACTGCAGGCATGGCTTTTTCCTTTCCTCTCTGCTCCCTCGCTCTTTCTTCGGCTCTCTCTCGATTGTGGCAGTGTTCCCGAGGAGCCTTGGCGATGCTCCAGCATGTCTGCCACTCCGTCTGAACCTTCCCATCCTACCCTCCATCCCGATCGTCCTTTCGCTGTGGACCCCCGCCCCGCTAACCCCTCCACTCCCACATTCTCCTTCCCCAGTCCAACCCCCTCCAGCCTAACCAAAACATTAAACACACTCCAAAAAACAAAACAAAAATTTACATTCAACTCATTTATAATCAGTCAAATATTTGATTCCGCATCTTTTTCTTTCTCTTCAACCCTTAAACCAAAACTCACTCAATATTCCGAAAAACTGTTGTCGCCCAACAACCTTTACACTTACCACTAAAAGGAAGTGACCGCGTGTGTCTCTGACTGTGTGTGTGAGTATATGTGTATCTCAGGTCTTTTGTTTAGTGCCAGTGCAGATCTATTCATCATGTGCCAAGACTCTGTGCCCTCACTTGTAGTGAAGAGGGGGCAGGTTGGTGCCAAGTGCCCTGACTGCCAGCTTAGTGCTGCTGTCGGTCTGTTTATGCTCACAGAAAGCTCTCTATCTCACAAACACACACACACACACACACGTATAAGCACAGTTTTCTTTGAGCCATTTACAAGCAGGAGTGGCGAATATATTTGTAAAGAGGGAACTAAATAAACAGATGTATGGAATATTAAAAGCAAGTGCTGATATGTATAAAAATTAAGCTGATATCATCTGATGCTTAATCAGAATATCTCTCCCCTTAATATCCTCAAAGTATAGTTGAGCAACATTATTGTCTTATGGTTTATTGTATGAAATATTAAAACGTTTTAAAATTCTACAACATTATTCGGAGGAAATTGTGACATAAAATGCACCTTTTTTATATACATGAACATGTAACATTCTGTTACATGTTATCTAATTTTGCTGTAATTCTATAAAATTATACCTGAATTTTACATACACTACATACATTATTTAAATAGTTTTCTTAGATAAACCTTGCTAGTAGCAGGTTAGATCCCCTTTTCCTTCAGAACTGCCTTAATTCGCCATGTCAAAGATTCAGCAAGGTGCTGGAAAAATTCCTCAGAGATTCTGGTCCATATTGACATCACAGCATCACACTGTTGCTGCAGATTTGTCAACAGGACATCCATGAAATGAACAACCTTTTCTACCACATCGCAAAGGTGTTCTATTGAATTGGCATAGCATGTTATCCTTTTGGAAACAAGCATCGGAAGATGGTACATTGTGGTCATAAAGGTGTGGACACAGTCAGCTACAATACTCAGCTAATTGGTACTAAGGGGCCAAAAGTGTGCACAACGCTATCATACAGTACCACCGTCAACAGCCTGAACCAAGGCTTTCACATAGTTTATGACAATTACTGACCCTACCGTCTGAATTTTGCAGCAGAGATGGAGATTCATCAGACAAGCCAATGTTTTTACAATCTTCTATTGTCCAACTTTGGTGAGCTTGTACTAACTGCAGCCTTAGCATCCTGTTGCTGTAGCGCTTGTGTTTCAAGGTTCAACATCTTGTGTTTACATAGATCAGGGGTGTCCAACTCCAGGCCTCAAGGACCAGTGTCCTGCAGGTTTTAGATGTGTCCTTGATCCAACACAGGTGATCTAAAACCTGCAGGACACTGGCCTTTGAGGCCTGGAGTTGGACACTCCTGACTGGAATATTCTTCTGCATATCTTTGATGTAACTAGTAGTTATTTGATTTACTCTTGGCTTACTATCAGCTTGACCCAGTTTGGCCATTTTCGGACCGTTCTCTGTAAACTCTGCAGGCGGTTATGTAGGAAAATCCCAGCAGATCAGCAATTTCTGAAATAATCTGGTGCCTGATAGGATCAGGCACCCACAACATCGGCACATTCAAAATCACTCAAATCTCATTTTCACCAACAATATGTAACTATCAAAGGGATTCCCAACATTTCTAACTTAATCATTTTTAAACATGCAAATATCAGAAAATATTTTGAGAATTAAATTGATTATACTGATGCTAACAAGTTATCCAAGTTAAGTTGTACCCCAGCTCTTGCAAAATGACAGCTGAAACAGGCAAATGCACCCACAACACTGAATTTGGGAAAATGGTTGGAAAAATTGATGGATGGGTGAGTTTTATAACACAATGGATTCAAACTTAAACCAAATATATTGCATAATGTTTAACTGCTGGAAAAATCTACTGCTGCAACTATCAGAATGCAATTTTGCTGCAAACTGAATGCAATGTTCGGTTAGTCACTAATAAAGCATCATATTTTATATGTACTGTACATAAATATGAGGAGCTGTTATCAGTTTAAGCAGTGGTTTATAATCTTTGGACCTTGTCAGATTAAAAATCACTTTGTGCTTTTGATCCCTTTTAATCTTTCACATATCTGTGGGGCATTTCCACTATAACTTTTTCGGAATTCAGAATTCAGAGAAAACAAATATCTAATTCTTTGCAAAATATAAACAATTGGAGGATAAATTTAAAATATGTAAAGTTATGACACTTTTTCCGTTTTATTCACTTTCTACTGGTCTGATCTATCTTTAGATTTATCTACCGATGCTTAACTAATCATTAACCAGGTAAAGGCACAGCAAGCTGGAACTGTTAAATATTGTTTACTTTACAAACAATAACTTCACAATGTAATAATAAATCAAGCTTTTTTTCCTGGCTCAAAATGGGCCTATGAAGCATGACTCTGCACATAAGCATGGTTTACCCACATACAGTAAAAGTGTTATGAAGCAATATAAACATATCTTTTGTGATTTCTGCCCATAATTACATGAAAATCTCGATTTTTCCATCACAAGGGAAAATTCTCACACATATTTTTCCTTTTTTAAATTTTACTTCTAATACTTCAGAATTTAAGTTGCCTTATTAGGTGCTGAAATTTAACCTGTGACTGAATATGTTTACATTCATACATTGGTATTAAATAAGTGAATACTTATTTACAGACCTCTACATTTAATATATTCGGATATTCGTTTTTTCCTCTACCACTGTTAAGAGACTGGGATGCGCAGGCGCAGTAACAGCATACTTGAACAGGGTAGTAGCAGGTGTAGCATCGGATAAATTTGCGATTGTTTAACTTAATTACATTTTTATAACTGAAACTGCTTTCTTCGTGAATGGATGGAAACACCTGGGAAGTTACCCACAGACCATTGTAACATTAAACAAACTAGCAAACAGCTCGTTTCATTTCGCTACATAACGCGGATATGTAGTAAAGTTATATCACAGGGCTAACTTAAGCTAGCCTGCTGAAGCTAACCGGGTCCACTCTTACCGGAGACTTTCATACTCTCAATCCGGCCGGGCAACGCTGTCTCTGGGGTCGGCATCTGTGCTTTGGAGGCCATATCTCCCATCCTAATGTTGACAAAGTGACGCCAAACGAAAAGGATCCTGGATGGAGAGACCATTGACCCTCAGCACCTCTCACACCCTGCTGCTGCTGCACTAGCTAGCCTTACCTAACAGACACACGGGTTTGCGTAACTGTAAGTGCCGCCTGTTACACAATGATGACTGTAAAACAAAACACATTTTGAAAATGTTTTATTGCACACTTACAACATAACATAGTGCATTTCCTCATTGAAGACAAATTACACATTTTGCCACACACGATGCAGAAAGTGAAAGTTAACTAGAAAAGTTTTTCATTGTTTTTATTTGTATTTTCCTGTAAATAACTGGGACCACAATAAAGACGAATTCACGTGCTGCGTTTGTTTTTCATTTCATCTTGTTTCTGTGAACACTGATGAGCTGTATATTCACCAGTGGCTAAGTTAACATAAAAATTCCTATTATTTTGAATGGAGTTCAGTCGTAGTCTCTCAGATGTGAGCTGGTTTGTAGTTTTATATGACTGGTGCTCCGTCGCTGTTAAATACTAATATGAGAGATTTATGTATAAAGCTGGGGAATTGTTGTGTCACAGGAGCCAATCCACAAAAGTGTAACAAAACAACTTTAATAAAGAAGAACCACTGAAAAAAATAAACACAACATGACAAAAATAGCTCAGCAAGTTTAAAGAAAATGGTACAATAAGAGATTATTTAATAAAAGTTCAAATATAATACAATAAGTGGCTTAAGTAAAAACAAATGCATTGAGACAGCCTCCACACTGAGCTGTTAGCTGTTATTTACTGATTCCACTCAGTTAAACTGGCCTTGTGTCATTTTACCTAAACCTCTGTGTCAGTTTGAACTCAGAAAGTTTTTTACTCATCAACACCAAGCTGTCGAAAGAAACATTTGTCTTTCACACCATTAAAAGCAATATTACTTAGTCTGTTTGGAGTTTGAGTTCCCTGTGGGTTTCAAAGATCTTTCTTTTTCTTCTTCTTTCAGCTTTCCTTTAGTCACCACAGCTGACCATCTCAGTCCATCTCACCCTGTTCCTACCTCCTCCTCTGTCACACCAATTCTCTGCATGTCCTCCTTCACTACATCCGTCAATCTCCCCTGTGGTTTTCCTCCTTCCTGGAAGCTTCATAATCAACTTCCTTTGGCATATATATCCACAATGCCTTGTCTCAGCCTTGCATCTCTAACGTTGTGTCTAAACTGCTCAACCTGAGCTGTTCCTCTGGTGTACTTATTTCTTTGTTGTTGTTTTGGCCTTGGAGACCCTGATGTGTGTTTTGTTCTGTATATTTTTTTCTAGCTAACTTTAATACTGTACATTAATTAAATAAATGCTTTGTTGCTCATTCAGCAAGCTGATTCTAAGATTTGTGGTTTGCCTTCCCTAGACTTTTAGGTGAGGGGCAGTAGCACCCTATGGCAGGTGTCCCGCTTGTGGGACAGATGGGATAGACCTCAGGTCCCCTTTATCGCCATGGTGGACAAATGGTTTAGAAAACTAAGAGACACATGATCAAATATGACTTATTTAATACATCTACATAAATACCATGACCCTGAAATTTACCTGAAGCTGTTTATAATGTAGATTTATGTCTACAG